GGCCGTGTCTTGGGTGAGGGAAAGTATGGAGAAGGGTGGGAATCTAGGTACCATCATACTACATTGTCTGAAAAATCTCAACAATTTAATTTAAAAAGCATATTATAAAACAACAACCCTGTGAACTCATAGGCACAGAGAACAGGCAGGTGGTGAGCAGGCACTGGCACTTGAGTAGTGGGTATTTTGATGAAAAGTACAGAATGGCAGTTTAACTGAGGAATGGATTTGAACAATCTCTTGTATAGCATACCACTCCCAGATAAGAGAATGACTACGCGAAGCAAACACAGGTTAGAGATACTGATGAAGCCATTCCCTAACATCTACAAATTTCAGGAGTTGATGGTATACACCAAAGATATTTAAAGTTTTGGTCAGTTAATTCAATCGTATTTGAAGTCACATATAATAGTTGTATCATAAAGAACTAATACAACATTGAACTAATACAACATTGAAGTTTTGACAGAAGATGCAGCTAAAATATATTTTAGATTTTTGGCAGTTTTGTCAATTCTAGAACATCATTTTGCTTTCTTGGTGGAGAGGAAATGAGACATAGTTTGCATTCCTTTCTCTTCATTTTGGTGGATCAGTTGCTACACATTCTGTAACAAGTTTCATCACTGAGAATATTTTACCTTTTTGGAATACGGAACATGATCTTTTCACTGTGACAGTTATATTTGCACATGTCCTTTAATCTAAAAGTCCTTAGGTTATCTTAACGGACTTTAATAGCTGTATCCCTTAGATACATTTTTAGTAGACCAAGGTAAATTTAAAGAGATTTTGCGTGCTCATTCAAAGTGTATATATCATCTTTAACATAATGTATCTGGAAGCCTCCACCTCCCTATGTTCATGAACTGGCCCTGGCTCTTATTTCCTCATCCTCCTCTCCTTAAATGTTCCCTGAGCCGTGGATAGGTGATATGATCCTGTGGCAGCAGTGGCATCATGTGTGGGAACCATGTCAGCTCAATTAAACTAGGGCCCAAAGGGGAAGAGAGAAATAGGTGGCAGGCCAGCACTAGATTGAGAACTATTTGACACTGATTGCTGCTGGGTGAGGGAGAGTATGATTTATATATGACCACTGGATTGACTGACTAGACTCCAGTGGACGCATTTACACTGAAGGACATTTGGGTACAAACACATGAATGAATACGTCTCAGCATGTATGGCAGAGTGCATAGGGTTTGGTGGTCTAACATGGGGAGCCATGGATGGGGGAGACGGTCTAGCTTTGAGTGGGAAATGTTCCATGAATTTTTAAAGGCTTGATAAAAAACCAAAATAAATAAATAAATCACTATTAAAATAGAAATAAAAAATTATATCTAATTTTTATTTTTGTTTGTACCATACATGAGTGTAGTCTTTCCATTATTCCATCCCTCCCAGTCCCCCTTCACCTCCTCCCATGCTCCCTGCCACAATTCCCTCTCAATTCCTTGTCATCTTTTTTGATTATTATTGTTTTACACACACACACACAGAGACACACATACACACACAGGCACACATACATACACACACACAGACACACACACAGACACACATACATACACACACATTCACACACACAGACACACATACATACACACACATTCACACACACAGACACACACAGACACATACACACACATACACAAACATACACACACAGACACACACAGACAAACATACATACACACACAGACACACATACACACACAGAGACACATACACACACATTCACACACACAGACATACATACACACATATGCACACACAGACACATACACACACACATACACACACACACACACACACACACACACACACACACTGATTCCATTCAGTGGTGTTCCTGTGTACCTGTGTTTAGGACTGCTCACTTGGAATTACATAACAACTCAGGGTCTAGTTCCTAGAGAAAACTCATTCTCCCTCTCTCATGATCTACTGATTGCTTTTAGTTCTTCCTCTTGAGGTGGGCCACCTGAAATTTCCCCATCCTTACGTAGTAGCCTTACGTAGTAGCAGATGTCTTGCCCCTCTGGCTCTTAAATCCTTACCTCCCCCTCTTCCACCATATTCCCTAAGGCTTAAGTGAAGAGGTTGCATTGTAGATGGGTCACTTAGGGCTGGGTACTTCAGAGGTAATTATTCTCTGTGTTTGACCAGACGTCCTGTCTTCAGCAGTAGGATCTTGTCTTCAAGTTCTGTGAGATGATAAAGGACTGTGGCAATAGCATGTATTATTTAGGGAGTTCTTGGATTACCTGACCAATGACCAGAAGGATGGGTTCCCTTGCTTGGCATTGTGAATTTTGTTACATAGTCTTCAGTTATTTTGATTGCTGGTTTCAAATACATTGTTCATTTTTTTTATTAAAACGTTGTGAAACATATTTTCTGAAGGTAGTTACCATACTTCAAAATATTAAAAATAATCAAAGATGAATAAGATGGCAGAATTGTCAGATTTTAATTTCCTTTGTTATAAATTAGCTATACAGAAAAACATATTTAGGTGGCAAATGAACATTTTTGGAAATTTTTAGCACATAGAAGTTTTTACAGAAGATAATTGCAACAGTCGCTCTCTTCATTCTCCCCTAATTAAACTGAGTTAATGAAATGCTACCTTAGTAAGGTTAAAACATCCTGAGGTTAATACTCAAGGGAAGACCAAGATTATTTAAATTCTCTTGTGTTATAAATCATTGCAGTTCCTGGAGGCAAACAGGCCAGGAGCTGCAGCACACTAGCTAGGTGGTTTCTTCCTAAAAGTGATGATAAAGAAGAGGAGTTCTGGATTCATACTTGCTGACTGCAGGATGATGGGGTTCTAGGTTGGGGAAGCTCTTCCTTCCTGCTAGGAGCACACAGCACAGCTAGCTAGGCTTTCTGTTGGGTAAGTGTCCAAGTGTGTCCTTTTCTTTTATCTGAGAGTTCACTCTGCCATACTCACAGTCCCAAGTAAAAATACAGATAACAGATAGAGATAGATGATGAAGAAGAAGAAAAAGAAGATTGATGATAGATAGATAGATAGATAGATAGATAGATAGATAGATAGATAGATAGATAGATAGATAGATAGATAGATAGATAGATAGATAGATAGATAGATAGATAGATAGATAGATAGATGATAGATGATAGGTAGAAATGGAGAGAGAGAGAGAGAGAGAGAGAGAGAGAGAGAGAGAGAAGAGATTGAGATAAATAGGGAAATATTCTTCAAACTATGAGAATTACAAAGGAGACTTTTCTAGGCCCACAGTTCTGTTTAAACAGGTCTGGTCCAGAATTAGACAGTGTAGTGTGAAGTAAGGGCAAATCTTGTTTGTTCCACATGAAATGTTAAGGTCTTTTGTTGTCCCTCAGGCTTAGAAGATAATGTGGAAAGACGGTGTATTTGTTGTAGGTGTGATTTTAATCATCATGAATAGAGAGATAAAGGAAGTATAATACACAATGATGTTTGTAGATGAACCTAAGGTACTGATATAACCTTTCTTCTCATAAAGACAGTAAGTCTTTTTTTAATCTTTTCATTCTTTTTTATTGAATTTTTGCCATTTTCATAAAATATAAATTATTAGTACTTAGAACCTCTCCCCTCTTCATACCTCCCCGCACTGCTTCCTGCCCAGAATAACACAGATTATTATCACAGGCACTGATTGCTTCTCAGAACATGAAGGTAAGACAGGCTGCATTTCAGACATGGGACTTGGAAGAATTTCGCTGGAACTGACTTGGAAACCTCCTCCCTAAAGACTAGCTCTCATGGTATCAGAAGCTGATATATAAGCTGCCAAGGGAGAAAAACAATCAATGGTCATATCCAACTGTAAAGCCTAATAAACAATGACTGACCCAGCAAACTATCACCTGTTTGTCTTTTTAAAATGTCCATCAATTTTTTGTGGTTTAAATTACAGATCGATGTGTCCACTTTTCCTTTCATACATCTTGTAAATAAAGTATTTTTGAGGTTGCTGGTTTGGACCTCTCCATATTATTTTTTAATACTCAGTGTCAAAGAACGTATGTGATTAATATTCCTTAACATTTTGATACAACATGAATAATATGATTTGGGAGGATGTGTATATGCATGTGTGCATTCATGTGTGTACATGGGATATCTATATCATGTGTCTCAGATATAGGTAATAGATGGTTGGAAGTAGGTAAAGCTCTGCTATGGCAAATGTGCACAGGTGATTGGTACCTTCAGCCACTCTGCTGTTCTCAACATTCTCTCATACAGGGTACAGGACAATCCCATGTATAATCCCAAACCCTCATCTTCCCAAGAGGAGAGAGCACACATTCTTGCTGCTGAGTCAGGGGAAGGTGCTATATTTGTTGAGTCTCTAATTTGAGTGATGCTTAGACTTCAAATTCAAAACCTTAGGCACAACCTTTGCAGTTGTAATTCTGTTGTAAACATTCCAGGTTCTGATTTTCATTTCTTTGAATCCTAGACTCTGAATATAATGTGATTTAAAGGAAAATTTTTCTTAGATAAATTTGATAATTGACATTTTATACATGTATATAACATTGAGTTTGCTCAAACCACACTCTTCTTTATCTCCTCTCTATCTTGTCATTCCCCTTCCCTCCATATAAATTCATTTCCATATTTATATTTTTTGTTCACTGCAGAATAATAGAGGAGCATTTGGAATGAATAGAAAGGACTCTTGTGTATAAAGAAGGGAAGATAGGCAAGCAGTCCTATGTTACTCTTCTGGGTGAAATTGTTAGGTTTATCTACAACCAGGAACTGTACCACTAAGAGCCACTCCATCAAGGGCAAAGTAGACTAGGAAGGTATCTCGTTCAGGAAGCACTACCCTGTCTTTAATCATCAAAATCTCTTTATTTTCCATTCTAGTGATTTAATTTTATCTTATTTACATACATATTATATATTAGCAAAAATTCATTCCTCCAGATGCCCAGGAGCTGATTCTCCCATAGAGATGACAAATCACACTCTAGTGACTGAATTCACCCTACTGGGCATCCCTGAGACAGAGGGCCTAGAGAAGGTCCTTCTCTTCCTGTTCTCATTACTGTACGGATGTGCCCTCCTGGGAAACATGCTCATTCTCACTGCGGTCATCGCCTCCCCACGGCTCCACACACCAATGTACTTTTTCTTGGGAAACCTCTCCATCTTTGACGTGAGTTTCTGTTCCACAACAGTTCCCAAGATGCTGTCGTATCTTTCAGGACAGAGTCGGGAGATCTCTTTTCAGGGCTGCACTGCCCAGCTCTTCTTCTACCATTGTCTGGGCTGCACCGAGTGCTTCCTCTACACGGTGATGGCCTATGACCGCTTTGTTGCCATCTGCTTTCCTTTGAGATACATGGTCATCATGAACCACAGAGTCTGCTCTGTCTTGGCCACAGGGACCTGGATGGGTGGCTGTGTGCACGCCACTATCCTAACCACCCTCACCTTCCAGTTGCCCTACTGTGGCCCCAGTCAGGTGGGCTACTACTTCTGTGATATGCCCGCAGTGTTACTTCTAGCCTGTGACGACTCATCTCTAGCACAGACGGTGGGTTTTACAAATGTGGGTCTTTTGTCTCTCATTTGCTTTTTTCTCATCCTTGTGTCGTACACTCGCATTGGGATCTCCATCTCAAAAATCCGCTCAACAGAAGGCAGGCAGCGAGCGTTCTCCACCTGCAGTGCCCACCTCACTGCCATTGCCTGTGCTTATGGGCCCGTCATCATCATCTACCTACAGCCCAACCCTAGCCCCTTGCTTGGTGCAATCATTCAGATTTTGAACAACCTTGTGACTCCCATGCTGAACCCAATGATCTACAGTCTGAGGAATAAGGATGTGAAATCAGCCCTAAGACATGTATTTCTTAAGAGAAGACTGGCTCTGAAAGATAAATGAGAAAATCTAGAATTTTGCTGGCTAAACTTTGATTCACCATGTTATAGGTCAGATTCTCATCTACAGCTTCCAAGGCATGTTGAAGTAAAATAAATTTCCATTTCCTTCATTGTTTAAAGATATGCATATCTTAAATATTTTTCTATGTTTTATACTGCAATACAAGTGATATTAGCCATTCTTGGGTTGATTTTTTTATGTTGGGCAAATTCTCTACAAGCACTTCTATCCCTCCAAACATTTAGTACTTTAAGTCTTTAAAGGGGTTAAAAGATACATTTAGTCTCTCATGATCTCAGTTAAAAGTGTATTTATATATCTCTAGAGGTAGGGAATATGCAAGCAAAATGGTCAAGAAAGGCACTTAACATAGGACATCTTAATTTTGCTTCCTTTTAAACTGAAGAATGTGGGCTCTAATTTTCTTCTAGCAACTCCAAATTTCAAAGTACTGTAAGTTATGTTTAAGAGAAACTCTTCATGCCTTATAGACCTGTGTGATAACAATGTTGTTTCTTGCACACATCTTCCTAGGTATATTGTTTATATTCCTTTATGCCCCTGGAAATGAACAAACCAGGATTGTTTGTCATTAGAAGCTCTAGGAAATCTACTTCAGTTTTGTAAAAGTTGGTTAAAAATCAAACAAAAGGTCTAATTAAGCTTAAGTATATATTTATGTTTTAAAAACAAGACCTTTGTCATATAGATACACACACACACACACACACACACACACACACTTTTTCAACTAAATAGCAGTAATAAATTTGCTTTCTCATGGGAAGATGTGAATTACCTCCCATTTCATAGTAAAATCTATATCCTATTCTGCTTTCTCTAATCTCCATGAATCATAATCCCAAGGGGAACAATATGGATAAGTTTTATTTACAGAACCTATGTTACTTTTTAAATGAATATATTCTTCCTGGTTTTCTGAGTTTTGCTTCCTTTTATTTTTATATCTCATCAACCAGTTTTCTAGTGCCTTTCTTAGAAGCCGTATTAATTTCTGTTTTGGAAGAAGTGAACAAATTATAGAGAGGAATTGAAAGAAGGAAAAATCTAGCCCTTTTTTAGAAGCAACATACTACTTCATAATATAATGATTGATTGCATTTTTCACCTTGTTTCTGAATAACAGCACAGGTGTTGAGAACCACTTCTGCAGCTAGATATTGTAAACCACACACTGAGTGTGGGCAGCACTATTAGAAAAATATTTAAAGGTCTAGTGGCTGTGTACACCAGTAATTAGGGTGCTGTGATATGCTATCTTTCAGTATCTAATGTGAGATACCGTATCACATAAGCAGTTAATCACTTTTGCTACAAATCTAATGGACAAAAGTCCAACTAAAAGAAGACTTAGATCTTTCTAGACAAGTTTATTGGTTTGGAATTTTTAAGTGTTCTGGTAAAGAATACATTTAACTCATAACTTTATATCCCATTCTACCTTCTATATAAGCATCAAAAGTAGAATACCTGTCCATTGCATCCAGGAGGTTTTACCATTTTAAACTTTCTGCTTCCAAGGAAGCATAGTCACAGTATCAAATACCCTTGCTTTCTTTCCCACTCTCTGCTTTTAGAACAGAATTCCAAACCAAACATGTTTAACAACCTCCCCTCTCCTGTTCTTTTGAGAAAAAAATTTTTAATCAAAATTATTTATTTGTTCTGTGCAAGTACACACCATGTTTCATAAACCCAACAGTGTGTGACTCAGTTATGTACAATTAGGCATAGAATAAACTACCTCTATAGAAGGAATTTTTCACTAGAGAGAATGCAAGACCAGAAGCACTGCTTACAGAGTTGTGAATTGGACCATCTTATTATGAGCTAGAAGAGTAAATTTCATTTATCATTAGTAAGACAGTAACGCAAGTAACAGAAGAATGGACAATTAAAACTAACTTTACTAGGTAATCATTATCAGGTTTTGTCACAGATTTAGCTGTTTGATTATTAAAAACACTATAAGAACTACCTAATTAATCTTTCTGATAAGTACAGAAAAAAATTCTTGGGAGGAAATAGTTATCTAAACACTGGGACATTTAGAAGAACTTGTTTCATTTACAGCACAAAGAAGCAGAAACTGCTATGTACCCAAATCTGAATGAGTTGTCTGATGAGAAAGGTTTCTTCTCTATGTGTTCTGATTGTGTCACTTTCTGTTTTCTTTGAAACAGTATTCTTACCAATCTTTAAATTCATAATTAAATTGTTTACTTATTTGTATGTATATGTGTGCAGGGGTACATGCATCATGGGGTATACATACCACAGTGCTTGTCCATGTGTGGAGGAGAGCAGACAACTTGTGCAAGTTGCTCTCTCTTAGAATGTGACTTCTGGGGATAAAGCTCATGTCATCAGACTTGGCAGCAAGTTCCTTGCCCCATTGACCCTTCTCCACAGCCCAGTTTTATTGATTTTTCATTGATAAATAGGAATCATACATGTACAAACACATTTAGACATGTATGAGGTTCGGTATGATGTTATAATGAATATATATGATTTGGGGAATATTCACATCAAGCTAATGAATATATTCTTCTCACAATCATTTAACATCCAGAATATATAATGAACTCAAAAAACAAAGCATCAAGAAAGGAAGTAACCCAATTAAAAGATGAGCTAAGGAACTGAACAGAGTTTTCAAAAGAAGAAATAAAGATGGCTAAGAAGTATCTTAAAAGGTGTTCAACATCCTTAGTAATTAGGGAAATGCAAATTAAACCCACTTTAAGATTCGACCTTACCCCAATCAGACTGGCTAAGATCAAGAAAACAAATGATACCAAATGTTGG